GAGGAGGTTTAAATGTCCAAAATATAGCTCATATGCAAGTGGCTACATGAGACAGTCATCACAAAAACAGAGTTGAGAAGTAAACTTTGTGTGGAATGTGAATATAGAATCTGTAGTTATGAATTGAGAAGGTGAACGTGGTATGAATTTTCTTTCAGGGAACCTTGTCATTTAGTTATATCATGAATTATATTAAGATTTTTTTAAAGTAACGTAGTGTAACAATTTACTGCTTTTTTTTTTTCTTTCTCTCTACATAAATTGAGTTCCTGAGCAAAGACTAGCTTTCTCCTCCCTTTATTGCTATATCATCAGACTTAGTCATCAACATTCAAATATCTCTCTTTTGGGCATAAGGGTATAGGGCTGGATTCTTCTTGTTTACTGTTGTTTACCTCACCAAAATGCTCATTTATGTGTGACACACTAAAGAGCAGCTGCCCAGTGCCCAGCTTTTATTATTGTAGAGTTCTTACAGAGTTTATGCAATGGTTATACAGTCTGTAAGTTTCACATGCAACATTCTATACTTTGTTCTGTTACAGGAACTATCTGTTGTCCTGTTCTGAGGATGGCACAGTCAGATTGTGGAGTCTCCAAACGTTCACATGTTTGGTGGGATATAAAGGACACAATTATCCAGTATGGGATACACAGTTCTCGCCTTATGGGTATTACTTTGTGTCAGGGGGACATGACAGAGTGGCTCGGTAAGAAACTAGATGAGTTCTCTACTTGTCAGGGTCAGTTTTGTGGTGAATTAACCCTGAAAGTGATTAGCTGATATACTCCAGCTTAAGCTATAAAAAGAAGTAAAATTTATTTCATGTGAATTAAGAGGCTAAATAAATGTTTTAATTTATTTTTTCCTAGTCAACGCACATCAGAAATAATGTCCTCTTATTTGGCTGTTACGAGTATTCTCTCATTGTTAACTAACCATGACAGAATATGCCTTATTTCTCCCTTCTGAAAAGTGTACTTTTCCAGAACAGATCCTGCTAATTCAGTAAACTGCTCAGTAAGAAACCACTGCTTAATTACATCCTTTTGTTCATCATTGTGCAATAGATTCTAAATGTTATTATGGCTCTCTATATTAATAAAGCTTTTCTTTTCCAGATTGTGGGCAACAGATCACTACCAGCCTTTACGAATATTTGCTGGCCATCTTGCTGATGTCACATGTACCCGATTTCATCCCAACTCTAACTACATTGCCACTGGCTCAGCAGACAGGACTGTACGGCTCTGGGATGTTCTAAATGGGAATTGTGTAAGAATATTCACTGGACATAAGGTAAAGGCCTATCACTCGTTGTGTGGAAGTGACTTTATTTCTGTGGTGGGATTTTGAAGAGTAGCATGAAGAATAGAATGAATGAATACAGCTGAAGAATGAAGAATAGAATGAGAATGAATACAGCTTGACTGGCTGAAAATGATGAGGCTTAACTAATTTGGCTCTTCTCCCCCCTAATGTCTGTTTTAGGGACCAATTCATTCGTTGGCATTTTCTCCTAATGGACGATTCCTGGCTACTGGAGCGACAGATGGCAGAGTTTTGCTGTGGGATATTGGACATGGCTTGATGGTTGGAGAATTGAAAGGGCACACTGACACTATCTATGCGCTTCGATTCAGTAGAGATGGGGAAATCTTAGCATCAGGTAAAATTACCAAGTTAGATGAGAGTGAAGGTTGGGTCTGTGTGTACTGCAGGGGGAGGAAACGAGTCAGAAATAACTCTCAGGCAGACAAGAAGTGGCTGGACCAAGGCTGCAATTGTGAGAACTGTAACGTGCATTCACTATGATCAAGGCTTGTTACAACTGTTTCCTTGGATGAGAGCATGTTTTCCTTGGTTGAGGGCATTAAGTATTCAGTTTTGAGTAAACCTGCTTTTTGAGCTGCTTGTTTTCCTGTTGTACTGACTTGCTGTCTTGTAACTTTTTATATAACTTTTTATGTATATAAAGGAAAAGACTTTAAATTGTTGCTTTTTTTTAAAGGTTCAATGGATAACACAGTTCGGCTGTGGGATGCCGTGAAAGCATTTGAGGATTTAGAAACTGATGACTTTACTACCGCCACTGGACATATAAACTTGCCTGAAAACTCACAGGACTTATTACTAGGTACATACATGACCAAATCAACCCCAGTTGTACACCTTCATTTTACCCGCAGAAACTTGCTACTAGCTGCAGGAGCCTACAGTTCACAGTAAATGCAGAAGCTGTAAGACTGGCTGTGCCAAGTTGTTGCAGTAGCGACCTCAGGATGTGAGACAAGGAGGAATGTCTTATACAGGTGGACCTCACCCGTCTGTTGCAGGAAAAACAAAACTATGTAAACTAACTCAAGCAGCGTCTTCTGAGTTCTGCTTTCATATTTATCCACAGTTTGAAAATGCTGGAGATTGACAGGACATCATTGTGGCTTTAAAGGAAGGAATTGTTTCATGGTGCTTTTGATAAAAAAATATATGTATGTATGTATATGAAAATGGCTGTCTCCTCTCAGAGATGGTATTGAGCTCTACTGAAACTTTTGGGAAGTCAACAGCCTTGGTATGTGTTCTCAAATGATTTTTTTTTAAAGCACTTAACTTACGGTTGGCAAACGTTTAATCAGTCTCAAGCACAGGTAAAAACTATTCAGAAAAGAATGTAGTTTAATTCACTATAGCCTGGGCTGGGCAACAGGTTTAGTGAGAGTATCACAGCAACAAATAGGGCATTGAAAAAAATAGGCCCAACAGGCAGAAGCTTGTAGGGAACTGTGGAGAAGTTACATATGGATTTTATGCATCCAAGTACCAAGTCCTGAAAAGATTTCAAACTCGTGTGCTTTTCTGAGGTATCAGAAATGCAGATCTTGTTATTCTGTTTTCACAGGTAGCTTGCTTCTGCTGTGTGATGAGCAACCAGAAATACAGTGTGAACACATTGGAGAGGGGTTGGGGAGAAGGGATTGTTAACAGCTGAAATGGTTTGCCTGCTTTTAACAACAGGGCAATGATTCATTCCTGTCATATTAGATCTCAAAGAGCTTCAAAAACCTGCATCCTTTCTCCATATGGTTTACTATTTCAAACTGTAAAACTAGTGGACAAGGCATTGAAACATTGCAGAACAAGCAGTGTAACCAGTTCTAAGTGTGATTATCAGCTCTGAAAGGCTAGCTCAGCTGCTGCTGCTACTTTCCACCCAAAAAAACACCCCAATAAGCCTTGCTGGACAACCAGTAAAGCTGAGAGCTTTGTTTCTAAGGAAAAGCAAAACATGCAAAGCACTGGGGGATAGAACGTTTTGGGTCTTTGAACAGGAACATCACTACCAAAAGAAAGCCCTTCCCCTCCTTTTTTTGTTGTTAATCTTACAAACTCTATACCAGGAAATACGTTTTGTGTTCCCTTTTACTTACAGTAAGGGAATGGACCCTTGTATAATGGCTGAGTCTAGTGAAAATGTGAAAAACAAGATTTGACATTTCTAAGGTAACATAAATGGAGAACTACCTCTTATCATCCTTTCTCTGACTCTAACCCTTGGAGTAAAGGTGCATTAGAGGCATTAAACGTCAAGATAAAGGGTGTAAAATTCATTAGGAAATTCACCTGGAAGTTTTCTTTAAAAGACAAAGTATTTTCTTTAAAGCTAAATTATTGAGGTGTGGTGTTTTTTTTTTTTTTTTTTTTTTTTTTTTTGCGGGATGGTACCTCAAAATTTCCTAGCACCCAATACAACCCGTTGGATTTAATTACGGTGAATCAAGCAAGTTACCTGAAAGCATGTACAGATTTGTCAGCTTAAAGAAAACACTGCCACATTCTGCCTTTGTATTTTGTACAGTTTTATACTTTTGATAGTATAATAAATACTAAAACCACACAGCTCGTGTCAGTAGACTGTATGTTCTGAGAAGATACTTTTCTTCCCCTGATGGTTGCAGTGGAAGCAAGAAGGCTGCTTATACGTGTTAGTACTGTCCTGAGAGAAAGTAGTTCAGAAGTGCTGTAGTTGATGACCAACTGTTCAATGTAAACTTAGTTCAAGTGGCAGATGATACATTCTAGCTAATTACGTGTATTACAGTTACCACCACCAATCAGGAAAGCTGTATAGAGCAGAGGCAGTTGGTGTAAACATAAGACAGATTTATTCCTATTAGGACACTAGATTTTATTCAGAAGGGTGGGCCAGCATGTATAAATGACTTTAAGAATACACTAATGAGAGTGGGAGAGCACAAGAACCTTGTGCAGTATCTCTGAATTACGTTCTCTTTTTTTCCAAGCAACTGTGCCTATCTCATGTTGCCCTACATTTAGGAATTATATCTGCAGCATGCTTGAGAATCAAAAGTCCTAGGTTCAACCCCCACTGCTGGCAGCCTTCCAAGTGGCATGGTGCTGCATAATCACATTCATGTCAGCTCTAGTGTGAAAACTAAAGAACTGAATTTTACTGAATATTGGGGGATAGAAAGATGGGATAAGAGGGCTGTATATTCCTAACTGGTAGGAAAATCTCACTGAGATACTGTGTTCAGACAAGAAATAGTGCTGAACTACTTAAGTTACTATTGTGAACACCTAGGGTTGTAACAGTTTGGAATCAGCAAAAAGCAAGCTATTTTCATGCTGCAATTACCTCTTTAAAACAGGCCAGTAACAGAAAAAGCTCAAATACTGTAATTAGTAAACAACCCCTGTATTTCACTGTTCTGGTCCCCCAATTCCTCCCACTCCCCTTCCTGACTCCTTGACTAAGATGGCTCACAAGAACAAGACAAAATACTCTCAAACGAGTGCTCCAGTACTGCACTAAATTCAATCTCATGATCTAAAGAGATGTAACACCTCCATGCCATCAAATCCTTTTTATACACTTTAAGGAAAAAAAAAACACATGTATACTAGGATTGGATCAGTCTATGTTGCAAGGTTTTCACTCAAAAAGGCTCTAGGTAAATCATGGACAACAGAGGCAGAAGCCATTCTATTTTGCACTGTATTAACATTATTGAAAAAACAATGGTTTTCATGTAAGCCACTAGGTGAGAACACAAAAAATGGAAGCAACCAGGACAAGCAAGAATCTGCAGACCACGTGTTCCACCTACCATAACACTTGGAAGTGCAGAGATGCTCTGCTCATCTGTAAGCTCTGTGCTTGGTGATATGGTCATGATGCTGAGGTCTTTCTTAAGACTACCAAATGTAAGACTTAAGACTACCAGGTGCTCATTTTGGGATGTGTTATAACAGCAAAAGAGTTAAAATAGTCACAAAAAGAATCAGGTATTCTGTCTCCACTACAAATAACTATTTCTGATAGAGGAAAAAAAAAAGTACATTTCCGCTTCGTTTTATCATTTCATATTTTCAATAAAGTAATTGTTTATATTTTATTAGCCAGAATAGGACATCAGCTTCCATTACATTGAAACAGAATGAAATGAAGGTTCAGACGTGCCAGCAACCTGCCAAGAGAAGAGAGGTCAGACATAGCACCACTATGCAAGGCTTGCTAACTGAGCATCACCCCTTTCCCAAGCCCAAACACTTTTCCATAAGAGCAGGCAAATTTCAACACATACACGAAGAAACGGCTGATGCCCCTTTTACATACAGCAGTGAGAATAACCAGAAGCTTATTGTTTTCTGCCCTGTTTGCAGCCTATGAGGACAACTCATTGTTTTTTTTTCCCCAAATGCCATTTCAGTGGATATGTATCTGAAAGTAGACTACAGATTTTTGAAACGCTTGGTTGTTGCTATGTAAGAACACGCTCAAAAACTTTCATACTGTCCTTGTCTATCCAGGTTTGCAAGGTATATATAGTTTCATTGTATAGTGCTCCTTTACTCCGTTCAAAGAGAGGTTTTAACAGAATGCATTGGTCTCTTCCTGGAATTCTCTAATACAAGTATTATTTTATTATTTCAATATCTAACAAAGCATCAGTTATCCCCATTTTTACACTAAATGTATAAACCTGAGGAACCTACTACTTACTTGCAGGCAATCCCTGATACACCTGATGCAACATCTATCCATTCCTCCTTCCTTGCTTACCCTTCCTCCCTACTTGAGGTCCCTAACCCTGTTTGCCATGCTAGAACAGAAAGAATACTGATAACCCTTAATTTCTGTATACCCCTATAACAACCTAGTTCGTTTAGAATGCCCCAAAATACAATGATGCCATAGTTTAGTTGAGATTTAAAACTGTAAGTACAAAAGTTCATATGCCCATGTTTCTCCCTCTAATTATGTTTGTTACTACCAACTTCTCCTTTGTTACTCTTTCTTCCTGGGCTGGCACTGAATCATTTTGGCTCTGGAAGAACATCTGCCACTTACCATTTACTTATCTGCCACAGCAGGAGTCTTCTTTTTAGATCTAAGCTTGAAATATAAGATGAGCATTGCAACGCCTGTGTATGTCGCTATAACGTACTGAAAAACATAATAGTTATGGTTACTTTCAAGCTACAACTCAGAAAACACCATTAGACTAGCCTACAAAAGTTAATTGATGCAATACGTACATTCCTCCTGCCCACCATGGTATAGGAATTGAAGTACTTCTGAAATCCAGTGAACTGGTGCTGAGATCCCGAGTCATGGCCAGCCATGGTTGCTCGTCCTAATAAGCAATACAGGAAAGTTAGCAAGCTTTACAGTCAGTTGGACAAGATCAATACAAAAAATACCAGCAAGCCAATTGAGCCAACTACAAAACCTCAGAAGTACTTTCACAGGTGCAGCAAAACCACTAAGCACATGAGGGCATGCCTTTGCATTTTGTCTGCATCTAGATGAAAGTTTCAGACCTACTTTAAGAAGTCAATCAACACACAAGCCTGGTGTGCATACAGTGACATACTTGCAGAATCAGTGAATGGTTGAGGCTGGCACCTCTGGAGATGCCAAAACCCAACCCCAACCTGCTCAAAGGGGCAGCTACAGCAGGTTGCTTGTGAACTTCCCAGTTAGGTTTTGAGCACCTCTGGAGACAGAGCCTCCACAAATACCCTGGGGAATCTGTACCAGCATTTGATCATCCTTATGACAAAAAATAATATTATTTTCAATGTTTAGAGGGTAATGATTTTTTAAGAGCATGCTTTTCGTATGTTTGAGGAAGATTTATAATTAGGACAAATGTTTATTGTTTACTTTCTAACTCAGCTCAAAGGAAGCACACATGCCACAGGGTTACCTGCCTGATTATGCAGAGATGCTGTCGCCACCAGTACCCTGGTAAAAGAGGGATACAAAAAACTGCTGCAGCCGGCTCTGTGTTCATTAACACCCTCCTTATGCCAACCTGATCCAACATCCCTGCTGTATAATCAGGTATGCTTGCCTGCAGCTCGGTTAAGTATGAAACAGCAAAGAAATCTCACAGAAACAGCCCCTTAATCTCGAAACATTCGCAGTGGATGACTCGGAAAGCCAAAACCACCTATTTTTTTTTAGCCAAACCGACTCGGAACCCTGCAAAAACCACCGTGCCCTTCCCAGGGCGGCTCAGAGCGCGGCCCCCACAGCACAGCCCGGCCTTTGGGAAGAACCCGGTGCCCTTGACGGGGACAGCCCGGCCCCCACCGACCCCTCACGGAGCCGGCCCCGCTTGGCAGCCTCAGAGGAGCGCGGCTGACCGGGGGAACGCTCCCAGCACCGGGAAGGCACCACCGCGGCGGCCGAAGGTCGCGGGCACCTCACGGACCACCCGAGGCCGAGCACCTCACCCAGCCGCAATCCCTCCAAGCATCACGAAGCCAGCAGAAAGAGACAGCGACCCCCGCCCGCCGCCCTTCACCGAGCCGCCCCCCCTCACCCCGCGGCCGCCCCGCTACCTGGGCCGCCGCCGCGCTCTGCCCTTCCTCAGCGCCCTCCCACAAAATGGCGGCGGCTTCCTGCCCCTCTGCCTGCTTCCGGCGCGGGGCTGAACGCGTGTGGTGGGGCCGGGCATGGCGGCGGCGGTCGGTGACGGGAGGTGAGGGAGAGGTGCGTACAGCTCGGTGCTGGTCGCCCGGTGTGGGCTCGGAGGGAGCGTGCTGCGGTGAGTTGTGGTGTTACTCCGCGATTTTGAGGTTAAAGGGGGTTTGCGTGTCTCGCGGAGTGCTTTAAGTTTGGGTACTCGGTGCTGTAATGGTGATTTTTTGTGAGGGTGGTGTTGGGCAAAGTAATAAAACGTGAGTCGAGACAGTAAGCAAAGCGATCTTTATTTCTTGGGATCCAGTGAGGTTAAGTGCGTTTATTAAATATGTATAGAAGTAAGCTTATAGTTCACCCTAAAGGTGCTTAAAATTATATTAACCGTTAAGCATGGTATAAAAAAAAATGCAATCTAAACTTCCCGCTTAAATCCAGATTTACTGATTAAATTCAAATTTATTCATCGCTAAAATCCAAGCTTTCTACGTGATGACTCGTGCTGGTCATTGTATCTTGTCTGCTGGTTGCGGCAAAGATCCATTCAGGAAACTTGCATGGTTAGAGCATTTTTTCTTATACTTATAACCATTCTTCTAAGAATACTGTTCTAAAAATGGTGTTTCTAAGTGTCTTAAATACTTGATGCTTCAGTTTTGTAGAATTGGGATGTAAATAAGAAGTGTTTGAGATGCACGTGTTCAGGTGGCCCCTTGCAATACTTGGGGTGTACTCAACATGGGATATTCTATGTTTCCACCTGAGTGGCTTCTTTTTTCCTCACTGACTAACTCAAAAGCAGCTATCTGTTTTCTTGCTTAGTTTCTGGGTAATTCATGCTTACGCCTCTTCAGCATGTTTGTGAGGAACAAATTTAAGAGCTATGTGTTTACCTTCTGTTTTGTCTTTTGTCCTATAGAAGCGCAAGCATGGCATCCATAGAAGAAAACTTTCCCCGAGGGGGCATCCAGAAAAAACCCACAGAGAAAACGGGAAAAGCACCCAAACCAACGACAGAACAGGACAACTTGTTTGACGTACGTTGTTCCATATTCTTGATTAACTCTCCTCAGAGCTCAGAAAATGACTTGTGATCCTTCTTATCCTGTGCTTCTATAGTAGACTAAAGGGACTTCCAGAAAGAGATAACTGCTGCATTCCTGTTGCATCTAGTATTCTAAAGGTGTGATACTTGTTGAATAGTATGACAAAAAATTCAATCAAAATTATTGTTCAGAATTTAGCTTTTAAATATTCCACAACCATCTGATCCTGAGGTACTAAGAATCATATAATAGTTTGGATTGGAAGAGACAGTAGATATAGAATAAGTTTGGTCTTTTTCCTTCTGTGCAGTGAAGTGTGGTGCAGTTCACTTTTGCCACTTCTTTCTGCTCCCAAAATTCACAATCTCAGCCCAAAAGGAGATATTTTGGAGGACTTGCATTTAGATGTATCAGCAAGCTCATTTCCTCTTTTCTCTGATCTAGAGTTTTCCTCTAACATTATTCCTGGCAGTGGAGTCTTGCCTTACTACAGTTTTCATTTTCTCTACTTTTGTTGTTTTCATCTCTGCTTATAATCTAAATTAGGTTCGCCATGAAGAACAATCCCAGAAAAGAAAAAGGAATCAGGAGGATCTCGGAAAGCGGAAAAAGTTCAAGGCAGACAGAAAAGCTGGTGCTAAAGACAATACTATGAATATTGAACCACTCACAATTGAGGTTTGTGGATAAATGTTCTATTCTGTGCATCTCTCCTCTCTTAGACTTGTTAAAAAAACATGCTCTCCCTCATTAAATCTGTAAAATACAACAGTAGTTCAGGACAGAAATGTGTCTACCACACTGCTATTCACTGATCTGCCAAGATATCCACGGTGTACTGTTTTTGTTTTCCCAGCACCTTTGTGAGGGGATGCTGCTGCTTGGTTGTATCAAAGAGGTCAGTGACTTTGAGCTCGTCATCAGCTTGCCCAATGGACTTACAGGATTTGTGCCAGTCACACAGATCAGCGATGCCTACAGCAAAATGCTGAGCAAGCAGGTGGCCCAAGGGGAAGTCCTGGAGGTGAGACTTTGGGTCAGGGCTGTGGTTTGTGTCCAGGAAGTATTAATAATAACCTGGAATCAACACTGAGACCTTGTTTAGAACCTTGGTTTCCTGGTGTCTCACTGGCTGACTTTAGTTTGATTATCAAAGGACTTGGTGAATAGTGTGGTCCTTACAATTTCATTGTGTTTCTGCATACAATGTATTGCTGCATAATGCTAATATAGGCTGACTGTGGACCCAGCTTTCCCAAACAGCCTTTGCAATTTCCTGATATTGCCGATTGCTGAAAAGAAAGAGGATGGGGTAAAATGTTACCATGTCTCTGCTATCAGCACTCCATAAATTCTCTGAACTTGTGGCATGTGGGACATGCAAGGTGCTAGCCTTTCAGTGGTGATGTTTTCCTGTGCTAAAGAGGGTGGTGAGGTGAGGGTCTCTGGCTTGGTGCTGAGCTGCAACCTTCTAACTCCATCCTGCATAGGATTCCTTTTATAAGCAAAGCTTACCAGACTTGCTAATGTGAGGGTTCATCCCTGCCTCTATATTGAAATTTTCGTGTTTGTGGTATTTCCTGCCTTTTATTGTAGTCTTGGTAGAGAGCAAGTGTTTTCCTATAGGATTTTGGTTTCTAAAGCTACTTCAGTAACAAATTCTGGCCTTCTTGTATTATGTAATATTGTTGGATTTGTATGCGTTCTTACTTTTATGACTATCTTGCAGGACTTGCATTCTCTCTTGGACATGTATTCTCCAGGGATGCTGGTCAGATGCATTGTGACCAGTGTTGAGAAAAGTGCTGATGGACGTCGGAGCATCAAGTTGTCAATCAACCCCAAAAATGTCAATAGGGGTCTGAATGCTTCAGCACTAACATCAGGCATGGTAAGTGTTCTGGGTCTGCCACAGCCTCTCTAGGCTTTGGAGGTGCCTCTTGAACAGTGCGTGGCGGGGTGGTAACGCTTCAGTTTGTCCTTGCATGGTACCAGAGCAGAACATGGAGCTGCTGCTACCAGTGGAATAGACCTGGGAGGAGAGGGCAATATTGGTTCTTGGCTACTGGCCTGAAGGGTGTCAGGCATGAAATCTGTTCACCTGATTATTCACCTGATACTGTTTGAATTTGGAAAAATTATTTTATTACTTCTTTCCACATAGGATTCTTTGTTATTTATGCAGAGATCAGTATTTACCAGCCTGTCTTGCAGAGGTGTTTTGTTGTTTGTTTCCAGCTTTATGGTTGCAGGCATCTGCCTGCAATTAGAGCACCTGTTATTTTTTATCCCACTTTTTTTTTTTTTTTTTTTTAACCAATGGGTTTATTAACTCTGTACATGCATAGCTAGACAAGGGTACAGTTGAGACCTTGCTGTCAGATGAGCTTGCAAGTAGGAAGGAATGTTGTGTTCCTTCTGATCTCTGTACCAAGTGAGTACACGGGTGGTAAATCTCTCACTGGATGTGTATTCTGTGCAGACTCAGCTGTTTCTTCACATTACTGAACTGCAGTGCTTTCCTCCCAACAGCTGCTCTCTGGCTTTGTGTCTAGTGCAGAAGACCATGGCTACCTCATTGATATTGGAGTCAATGGGACTCATGCTTTTCTGCCTCGTCAGAAAGCCCAAAATTACATCAAAGCAGTCAAGAGAGGTAAGTAGTAGTACGAGAGGAGCTTCTGGGGTTAAAGTGGATGTAGAGAATCCCAGAGATTAAAGCCTGTTATAGCTGTCTTGTTAGTACACCTCAGTATTGTGGTGGAGTCTTTGAGTTGTTGAAAACAGCAGGTTTTCGGCTGGTGGGCAGCAAACTGTTAGGTTTCAACCTGTTTTCTGCCAGACCATGTTTCTGCTCCAAGCCCACCCATCTTTGTTGGCAATAGACTTTGACTGAAAGGAGTTCAGACTTCTTAACAATAAAAGCAGCTCTGAAAAAGCTTTGGAGAAAACTATAGGCAAAAGACGATCCCTTAGTGTTCCTGGAGGGGTTTTTATGCTGTGGCTTGTGTTTGTAGGGCCTGACTTGAAAATAGGTCAGAACCTGAACTGTGTCATCGAGCAAGTAAAGAATGAGGGAAGAATTGTCCGTTTGTCTGTTGATCGATCAGAGGTTGCTGCATCCCTTGCAACAGAGCAACAGAACTGGACGCTCTCTAATTTACTGCCAGGGCTGGTGGTGAAAGCTAAAGTGCAGAAGGTAAGCTCTTCTTTTTGTTGGTTTTCTCTTTAGTTTTTGAGCCTTCCTGAAGATAGGGATACAGGTAAAATGAAGATTGAGGTTTTGTACCCTGGAAAACTTAGTTTCGGCTCAATTCCATGAGAAAGGCAAACGCTTTTTTCAGCTAGGCACTCCCGCTGGGTCCACCTAAGGTCTGATCTTTGCTATGGTTCTGATGCTATGAGTGTAAAGGCTTCAGCCTGGAGATGGTGATGAACCTTAGCATAGAACAGATTCCATTTTATGCTTCTATGGTCTTTGGCTAGTATTCAACACTGTAGCAGTAGTCTTCAGAATAAATACGATAGTAGCGAAAAACTAAAGGATTACTTTTACAAATCAATACAGAAAACAAAGCTGTTAGGAGTTTTCCTGTCTCTTTTGATGTACTTGTTGTTTAGCACTTACGGTGGCTTTTTGTGAAGTGTGTGAACTGCACTCACTTTCTGAGCTACATGAAAACTAATCAACTTATTTTTCTTTTTTCTTGACATCTTTGTGTGTAATTTCTTTCCCCTCTCTAGGTAGATCCACTGGGGATCAGTCTGACCTTTCTGTCTTCCTTCACTGGCATTGTGGATTTCATGCACGTGGACCCAGATAAATCCATAAACTATTCTCCAAATCAAGTGGTAAGGAGAAAGTGAAACACAAATAGAATTGGTATGTTGCTTACAACATCCTTCCCCAAAATACTGCTGGAGAAGATAATGGATATTTTTCAGTGGAATCATCTCTGAAATCTTAGTGATGATAGTT